AACAATAGGCTTTTTTCCCCATACAAATCTTTATATTTCCAGTGTTACGCAACAATGCCGATGTTCGCCGATGCTCATTATTTCGAGCTTGGGCTACCTGTGGTCTCGCTATACTTATCTTCATGTGCATTCTTTCGGTACACATACATGTTTATGTAGACTTCAAAACTGTATATCGAGTTAGAAGGTTCCTGGGTAGCGAAAATGCGTGAGTGGAATGTTTGCTACAAAAAACTTGGACAGCTGCCTGACCGGGGAGACATAATTGAACCTCGGTTGATCCATGCATCAAGTTTACTTGTTAAAATCAGTTGCCCTTCTGCGGCGCTCTTGTTCATCGGCCGCATTCAAGTTTTCTCGTATTTACTGTGTTTGGATTTTATTCTGCATCAACCTTTGCAACAAAAGAGCAGCCTCCGCTCCGCTGCAGGAAAACGTTTCCGTCGTGCCAAGTTTATTTTTACTCTGATTCTAATAATAGCAAGCAAGAACTGTCACACATCTTAACTGCCCTGCAACACATATATCTAACCTGGGCTATTGCAAAAGCTACTACCCCATCTTCCCGACTCCAAAACAGTAGCAGCAACCACCTCTGCTAGAAGAACCCGTTCTAAGTCGGGGTCTCCGATATTCTTCAAAGGATCTTCAACATTCTTGGTATTCACGTTTGCTTCAATCCACATCGCACCCTTCGCCAACGTCTAGTGAGACCAAAAGATAAGATCGCGGTGGAGGATAAATGCGGGGTCACTTACAATATCAAATGTAAGGATTTTGATGCAGAGTACAATAGTGAAACGGCAAGGAAACTGAGCACTAGGCATAAAATGAACACCGCAAGTGCAAATCAATGCAAGCCTGCGATCTCGAGTCCGCTGAGTCCGAACATGACAAGGACGCAGGCCACTCAATCGACTGGGCCAGCATAGAAAGTGCCAGCAGGCTCACTTGTGAGAGTCTGGAGAAAATTTGTGGAGGCCGAGCCCCCAGCACCGGAAAGAAATGGTCGTACATCGCATGCACCAGTGAGCCTGCTGGCAGGCTAGATAATCACCTGCTTTCATGTAAGAAACTCGAGGCCATAAACATTCATTCTCGGCGACCGGCAATGAACCGTGATCAGGGCGTCCTACCTCCCCCCATTGTATGGATCAATTTAAAATTGCAAAGCGAGGCTGCGAATAACAGCAAGCGTCACTGATGAGGGGTCCAGATTGGGTCCTTTGACCCTGCGTAGCTCTCAAGAATTTGTTAGTCGTTGAAGAATGTTTCTTTGCAAAATGTTCGAACTCTGCCGGCGGTTAGTATATCTCAGTTCATTCGCCATTTGGGCATCTCTCATAATGCACCTTGTGAATCTTTTAAGAAGGGTCAGTGTAACAATTCCTCTCGAAGCTCGAGAGAAATCCGAATCTGAGTTAAAGACTTCTTCGTTGCGTCAGCGATAGCACGGTATGCAGCGTTTAACCTGGTACCAAAAGGGCAAATGAAGTGGTTATTGCCGTAAACTTTTGCAGATTGCTAAGCTAGACTGACTTGTAGGCAAGGAGGCTTGCCTGGAGATCCACAAAAACTTTGAGCGCTTATCCTGTGGCAAAATGAACACTTGCTTAAGTGAGTCCGAACTACAGCCTAGAAACTTAATCGCGGTGAAAGGAAGCAGTACACTCCTCTTAAGACCTATCAAACAACCCAGAGATAAAAGCACCGAACAAGCAATGAAGGCGACCATATCAGCTAAACTAAAGCCTTGGAGATGTAGATGACGCGAGCCTGGCTGGAAGCGCACCTGACCAAGTTGTCTATATAATTATCATCTATATAATGCGAACATGGAACGCCATGTAAACGAATGAAATTAGTTGCCCCCAACCCGATGCTATAGTAAATATATGCGTTGGCCTTCCAGTTGAAAGGTAACGTGGCATATACAAAATACCAGCCAGCCCACCGGAAACCGGAAAACGTAGACCATGATGGGTGTAAGTGGACAAGATCAAATCCACTTTTCTCATCAAAAGTAGTCTGAAAGTGTCCATAGAAAACGCATAGGGACAGATCTGTAAGACAATCCAAACGAATAGGGTAATCCTTAATCCATGGATTCAAAAAGCGTTCGTTATGGCACATGCGAGGCTTTGTGGGCTCATTGGTAATTGGCATGACCAGTTGAGGAGGATCGACTTCGCCTACCTTACCCCATATGAGGAAAGATCCGTTAGCGACTTTGTCTAGTAACGGTTCACCAGAAAAAATCAGTGTGTTGATTACATAGATAGATGAATGGTTTATTAAATTACTTCGCAGCTTCTAGGCTGAATTATGTTATTTTACAATACCGTAATAAACCTATGATAATAATATACAATAATATAGTAACAGCCCATGAATAATAAAGCTATAATTATTAAAGATATTTGATAGCGTTTAAAAACTATTAAATTTACGAAAATTTATAATTAAAAATTCACAGAAATATGTCTTTTATTATACTATTGCAGCTATGGCTTTTGTGAAGGAGCTCCTTGCCCGATTGGTTTTCAAATTGGGTACTTAAAATTTGGACTGTACTGTTTTCTTAAATTGTAACCATTGCGGCAGCGAGTTGGAGGCAACGGGTTTCTAATCTTGTGGTTTCGGTCCGAGAGGAAGCTGCTAAAAAGGGTGTTGCAAAGCTGGTCATTGTGTTCCCCCAGAGGTAAAATCCCTAAATCTTCCAATCCAGCGTTGTAGCTGGCGCCTGGCACTATAATCGATACGGTCCGATTCTCTAAGCGCACTAGCTCCTTTTATGGGTATTGGGGGAGGGCATGGTAGAAGGCCGGAATAGCGTAATCAGTTATTGACCTAATACATGCAGTATAGAACAGTACCAGGCCATTACCCTAATCCGTTTCAACTGCACCAGAAAGTACAGCCGCTTGCTAGCCTTTTTGATTACCTCGTTTATGTGAGCGTTCCATGAGGGTGAGCTTCTTATTGTTACACTTAGCAACTGTCCAACTGTCCAACTGTCCAACACTTCCAGCTCCTTTCCAGCGACGATCATTGGATCAAAATCTGTTGGTGTCTTAGAAAAGAGTTTCTTAACTCTTTACATTTATCAGCGTTAAGGTGGACTCTGTTATCATGCGACCACTGGCACCGCCCTTAACTCTGACGCAGTGGTATCGTCTACAAATTTCCAAAGGTGTGGTGAACTAATATCTAGGTCGTTTATCATTAACATAAGTAGCTAGGGGCCTAACTTAGTTCCCTTTGTTACCCCAGATGGGACAGACCCCACTCAGAAAAACAACCCTCTGTTAATTTGGCTCCCAGCGATTGATCAGATAGGAAGTCTGAAACCCAGTTGACAAACTACACGGGTATATAATTTAGTGATGACAATACTGTGGTCTATAAAGTCAAACGCCCTACGATAGTCAAATAACAAAGTCCTAACTGTTGATCCGTTGCCTTCTGTCCAAAGGGACCAATGCTGAAGCATACTTATCAGTGCCAAGGTGGTGATGGTGGTGGCGGCCTGTGATCGAGCTCCTTCACGGACTAATGGCTTGACGTAATCGTCCAAAATAAAGCCCTCTGCCACTTTAGGGACAGCCGGAGCGAGTGAGATTGGACGCACGTCCTTCTCTAAAAGCTGCACTGATTTCTTCTTTGGAAAAGGAGTGACATCGGCTGTCTTCCTCATGATGGTAAACACTGTTCGTTACAGGAAGCGTTAAGGATTTCAGTAACGGGAAAAGCCTCTAAGTCAGAATATTCCTTCACAAGCCAATTCCGTATTTGGTCTGGTCCAGACGCTTTGCTGGGGTTGAGCTCAGCCAGTATTCTTTCCACTCGACTCTCTGTTAAATGTGGGATATCGGGTGATTCCTCCAAGGGGAGGCGGGGAGGGGGAATGGTAATTGGTATTCCTCCAATTGCTCCAGGAAAGCTGCGTTGATGGCATTGGCTTGGTCCAATTGGGAGGGATCGGAAAATCCTTCAACTTGTATCTGATAAAGTAAGTCACCACTTTTGGACTTCATACCGCGCCAAGGCGCTTGCCACCACTTGCTCTGTTTTTCCCCTGGTAGGTGCTGTACCCTTGACACGTACCACTTCGCTCTACAAGCCTTTAGACTGTGTCTTGCAGGATGGAGAGTTAAGGAAACCATACGAGGAGACTGATCACCATGAAAGGAGCGGGCCTGGAAGTTGCCATGGAAAGGTACGAAAAAATCGTGAGCCTTAAAAGCCTGCGAGTAAGTTCTCCGAGGCGCCTTAGCGGCGAGGCGTGAAAAGGAAGGAGAGCTTGCAACTACGTCTCTGGAATTTGAATTCCACTTCNTGGTGGTGGCGGCCTGTGATCGAGCTCCTTCACGGACTAATGGCTTGACGTAATCGTCCAAAATAAAGCCCTCTGCCACTTTAGGGACAGCCGGAGCGAGTGAGATTGGACGCACGTCCTTCTCTAAAAGCTGCACTGATTTCTTCTTTGGAAAAGGAGTGACATCGGCTGTCTTCCTCATGATGGTAAACGCTGTTCGTTACAGGAAGCGTTAAGGATTTCAGTAACGGGAAAAGCCTCTAAGTCAGAATATTCCTTCACAAGCCAATTCCGTATTTGGTCTGGTCCAGACGCTTTGCTGGGGTTGAGCTCAGCCAGTATTCTTTCCACTCGACTCTCTGTTAAATGTGGGATATCGGGTGATTCCTCCAAGGGGAGGCGGGGAGGGGGAATGGTAATTGGTATTCCTCCAATTGCTCCAGGAAAGCTGCGTTGATGGCATTGGCTTGGTCCAATTGGGAGGGATCGGAAAATCCTTCAACTTGTATCTGATAAAGTAAGTCACCACTTTTGGACTTCATACCGCGCCAAGGCGCTTGCCACCACTTGCTCTGTTTTTCCCCTGGTAGGTGCTGTACCCTTGACACGTACCACTTCGCTCTACAAGCCTTTAGACTGTGTCTTGCAGGATGGAGAGTTAAGGAAACCATACGAGGAGACTGATCACCATGAAAGGAGCGGGCCTGGAAGCTGCCATGGAAAGGTACGAAAAAATCGTGAGCCTTAAAAGCCTGCGAGTAAGTTCTCCGAGGCGCCTTAGCGGCGAGGCGTGAAAAGGAAGGAGAGCTTGCAACTACGTCTCTGGAATTTGAATTCCACTTCTTCGACTGAGCTGTCAGATTTCTGCCAGTCAGCTCGAAGCGGAAACGAGCGCGAATGTAAACAAACATTATTGAAAAACGCGTGCCAAAGGTGATAACGTCATTACTAATGTCATCTTCGTCAATCAGCATTTCGCATCGACTTTTTCTATGCAGGTATTCAAATTCCAGAGACGTAGTTGCAATCTCTCCTTCTCCCGCCTCGACATCAGAGCGCCCCGGAGACCTTCCCGCAGGCTAGAACCTTAACGGCCTTCGGATACGTAACTAAAAATATATCTTCCTTAACCCCGGAGCACGAACTTCCAGTTAGAAAGATTATCAGGCAAATTTCCTGTGACGAAACTGCACATGTCTGGGTGAAAAAATCACAGAAAACGAGGAGAGGCATGAACTAACCCTGAGGAAACCATCTCAACGAACGGAATTGGTCCGACCCAACTAGCGAGCTTTCCCAGCCAATCGCCTCAGATTTCCCGCCTAGTACAGCTAGCATTTCGCACCAGAAGACGATTAAATGACTCAATGGCAAAAACCTAACAAGATAACAACAGGAGAAGAGTAAGTGGGAAAAGGGGCAAATATCCCAACGGCGATCAACGGAATAAGAAAAACAAAAGAAGCAAAAAGGGATGAGGAACCCACCAGCCGAGCCGGACCAGGCACCGTCCGAAAACAATTTATAGGGTTAAAGCTACGAAAAAAACCCTTCTGGTTGCAGGGAGGAGAAAGAGTATACGAGGAAATGATAAAAAGAAAACAAACAAAGGATCGTGATAACAGTGACTTTAATGACAAACGGGCAAGAAAACGAAAGAAACAGGAAGTATTAAGAATGTTTTCGCTTAAGACCGCGGTCTACGGGGGACCAACAATTTCTCGACAGGTGTCCTGGTCTTCCACAATAATAACATGTAGGCGGAAGCCGTCTCTGGTTTGCAAAGAAGGTCGCTGAGCTTGTTTAAGAGCCTTCTGAACCTCCTTGGCAATTTCAACTTCCTCCTTGTCGCCAACCAGCTTTAGGAGGAGATGTTGAAAGGAAAGGCTGTACAGAGGAGGTCTGGTTTTGCTTTAAGACAACAGGCAAGCGGTTAGCTCTGGCGTCTCGCTTGTCTCTAACAACATCCACCAGTTGTTCCAAGAGCGGCCAGTGTGGCATGCGGGTCAAAGATTACAGTAGCGCGAGCTAGATGCTGACCAAGGAGAGCTAACACCGCGTTAACACTACCGGCATCATGAATCTGACTTAAACACTGAACCTCTTTTTGCAGCGCAGTCACCACATCCAACTGAGCGCCTTGCTAGAAAAAAATAGGAAAACGAGAAGCTCAAGAAATAGCATCTGGGTGTACCTTCACAAAACATTTTATACAAAACAATCGACTCTACCGCTCGACACATAATGAGATTTTTAACCGCTGCAGGATTAGCTCATTCGGTCGCGCGTTCGATTCCTGGGGCCAGACTAATTGCACTGCAAGCGGCTTAAGACCTTTCCGTGGTTCGGATGACAACGTAAAATGGCAGTCGGAGACGTAAAAATAGTTTCCCCAATTAGCGCTTTCGTGCTAAATACCTTGACGCTCAAATAAAGTGCTTATTTATTTATTATATGCAAAGCCTGCTTAGGGCTTAGTAGATCTTTAACGGTATTTCTACTGCACTACTGGACGTGATTAGGTCCTGTTATCCCAAATATGCAAAGGCGTGAGATAAACGTGATTATTCGCATCTCTTACACTCGACACTAGCAACTCTGACGCTCGACACGCGAGCATTAACAACACTCGACACCCGAGCAAAACTTACGCTAAACACGTCATACGAGCATCTCTTTACACACTCGACACACGAGCATCTCTTTACACGCTCGACACACGAGCATCTCTTTACACGCTCGACACACGAGCATCTCTTTACACGCTCGACACACGAGCATCTATCTCTTTACACGCTCGACACGCGAGCTTCTCTTTACACACTCGACAGACGAACATCTCAGTCAATACACGCTCGACAGCTGTGCGCGACAAAATTTGTGACTATTCTATACGTCAAAGCAAGGGATTATGAATATTACATAAATCTGAATACTAAAGAAATAAAACAGGAAATTAGCATCGTCAAATAAAACTTTTCTAAACTTCCCTACGATTTTCTGAAGTTTAATTTTTCACATTTCACTCCCCAGGTTAGGCTATTTTTCGTACAAAAATGGAAAACCCCAAATTTTCTAATTCAAAAATGTGATGGAAAGAAGAATCAGAAAAATTCTCTCCTTCGTAATACGTTAAATTTCATCTAATACTTTCGGGAAATTAAAATACTGAATCCCTCGTAATTTCGAAAAGACTCAAGATCCCCTAGAGGGTCTCAATGGGGGCGGTGGCTTTTACGACGGTTATCGGCTAAAATTTCGGCTCTTTTACGGCTATCGGTTAAGTTTTTTCAGTTACGGTTAACAAAAAAGTTAAAAATTAATTTCTTTTGTTTCAAAGAGTTAAATATTAATAAACCTGTATGTTTTTCGAACTTTAAAGCAAAACAAAGGTCTTAGGATCATCTCGGGATGAAATAAGCTATTCTTTTGAAAACTTTTAACATTTAATAGATCATACTTCATACAGTATTCCACTTCTAATATTATTTTTCATATAGAAATGTCAACGGTCAATATAGAAATAATCTTTGTGAAAAAGCAAAAACAGACACGCGAACGCTCAGCTCAAGGCCCGGGCGCGAATTTATTTAAAACAGAAATGACCGTTTTCATACTAGAGACGGATCATTCATTTGAGACGGGTTATCCGTTTGATAACTCGCGTCAGATAGGTAATACGTGTTAATTTGAAAATGGAATGGTTTTAATTTTGAATGAACAATCCGCCTGACTTTATCCGCCAATTTTGACGGACAGTTTGAAGATGGATTATCCGTTCCAGATAGCCTGTGTACAGCCGCCCCCTCCCCTCAGAAAAAACGGGAAAGGGGTGTCTGTAGAGGAGGGGGCGACTGTACACAGGCTAGTCTCAGACGGATGATCTATTTTCTAGCTCTAGTGGGAAAACGGCCAACAATAAAATTCCAGTGTCCAGTGTTTTTAATGATACAGAAAGGACTGTACAGAACGACTGTCTGCCGTGACTTGTCCGTAGGCCTCATTATTTCGCGCGTCTAATGCATTCCGGGTCGCGTGGTCCGAGCGAGTTTTGTTTCCTCAGGTATCCCACCTAAATGCCTTGACCTAGATGTTGCGTGGCAAGACGCCGTACAGGGACTAGGCATGGCAATGTCTACCGTAGCGTCAGAGTAAAACAGGGAATTGTTGTTTATCAGCAACGTGTTTTACAAAGAGTGACATCTCTGCGTGTTGTTTCACTAGTATTTCGAGGGCACGATCTCCTTAAAATCACAAATATTAATCCCCAGCAGGAAGCCAGATTTTCCCTATAGAAAAAACTTGGTTCTTCGAGTGAGCAGCGGAAATGGAACCAACACCTAAAAGGAACTTGGCCTAACGTTCGTACGGAGTCAAAGTAGGCGGGAAATAAAAAACGCAACCATAAGTGAATTTTATCACCTTCCTTAAAATTAACAAATCTAGGGAACAATTTCTTTTACGGTTATCTCTTTTTTACCCTATTTACGGCTAACCGTTAAAATTTTTCAATTTTTACGGCTATCGACTAAATATTTGGCCGTTTTACGCCTATCGGTTAACCCCATTGAGACCCTCCCCCTACGATGACGGTAGTTATGCTTCTGCAACAAAATTAACCCGTTGGTGCCTTCCCCTGCCTTCCGTATGCCTTTCCTTTATTAATAACGTATTAATATGTATAAGTGTCTTCCTGCATACTAATTTAGTGCCTTCCTCCATATCTAATTAAGTGCGTTCCTCCATATATAATAAAGTGAATAGTCGTTTCTTTTCTTTTGGAAGAACACAGTAGGAACAATAGGTTTGCCTAGAATTGCCCGGGCTCTTTTATTCCTGATGGGCTCATGTACAATCTATTATGTGTTTAATATAAAAACGCGCCTTCCGTTCAACATTTTATTCTTGCAAGTGAGTGTCCTTGGAAAAAATTCTTACTATCATCAATATTTTTTAAATTGCTCCAAACATGCAAGTCGAATCGAGCGCCTCGAGAATTTTGTAAGTAACTTATACTTTTGTTTGAACAATATGTTATGCCACGAAGTTTAAAACTTTCACGAATCATTTAAGTTCGTTATGTTAATAGACTTACCTTAGATTTGCATTTGATCTATTAAACTATAAACAAAACACACCCACATATACACAAAGTGGAGCTGAAAACTCTCTATTTCAATTTTGTCTGACTATTACAGAAGCGTTTTCTCCGCTCTATCTCAAGGAAATGAAAAGCTATTAAAGTCTCAGCGTTTCACGCACCGTTAGTCAGTTAATTATGCGAGTTCACAAGCCCACCGTTGCATACAAATTAGTTCTGCAGTAAAAACCCCAGGGAGCATATTGACGTATTATTATAAAAACACACAAACGAAAACAATTAATAACTTGACAAGGATCACTTGAAACACTCGACTAATAATTGTTTGCAATAAAACCAGATACGTTTCTTAAGGCACAAGAAATCATCTTTATGACCCTTTATTAAAATAATTGCAAAAAAATTAGATTAAAGATTCTATTAAAATAGTGAAAGAAGGCAAGCCATCCTTTTTTTACATTGCGCACAATGTTTTACTTACCCCTCTACCTTTTCAATTTTATTTCCCTCCTCCTCCCTCTCCACAATTTTTATTATTTTCCCTCCTCCACCTCCACCTCCTCATTTATTCTATATATATTTTTCGGCTCCACTACACAGTACAACATGAATAGAAAAAACATTAGGTTTACTTTGGCTGTTTCGGCCGAGCACCGCAGATATAACAATACATTATACAACATCTTCTATTACATTCAAATATGTGGTGTAAGAACTAGAACAGAGCTGAGCGACAGTTTACATAGAATACTGTCAGAACGGAGGCCAGAAAAAACCTGCCAGAAAAAAACCTCAGTAAGGAAAAAAACTCCGCAGGAAATCTGGGTAGGATCCATGGCTCATGCTCTGAAAAGCCCATCCTACGAAGGCTACACGGCTGGAATGACTTTGCCCTTATTTACAAAACAAGTATTCCAGCAAAGGACGGCAAACTGTAAATAATTTAAGGAAACGCAAACAAGCTAAGAAACCCCTGGAAAAATCGAACTGCCACTAGTAAATTAAATATATACTAAAATAAACAAATAAATAAATTAATTAATTAATAATAACATGAGCTAGACGAGATGTCGGCCTAGAACACTTTCCCACGTGATAAGCATCCCTTTTATAGCGCTCCATTCTACCCTTACTGCACTTCAACTGCCCCAGTCCCCACTGCTCCCGTGCCGCAGAAATATTTCATTTCCGGCTAATTCGTATCCACTCAAACGCTGGAAATTCTATTTTTCCATCCACAAATACATCGACCTGCTATCGACCCTACATTGACCCTACATCGACCCCACACCGACCCTACTCTCAACTTCTTTTAACACAGCTTCATGAATAGTAAAACTACCACCGCTACCACATTTCTATTGTTTTCCCTCCACCACCACCACCACCACCACTGCCACCACATTTCTATCGTTTTCCCTCCACCTTGTGGTGGTGGAGGGAAAAAAATTGGGAGTCGGGAATCGGGAGTCGACTGTTTGAGCCAATTATGGCAGGTACATACTGTCTTAAGCGATTTCTTAGGAAAACACCTGTTACAAAGAAACTAAAAAATAAGTAAAAAAAAGTAATGGCGTTATTACGTTGCCATGGCGACTGTTGTAAAGAAACCCAAATCATAACCAATTTTCTTCTTTATATAATACAGTTGTGGTAACCTTTTTCCTATATCTTTATTCATGGTAATGGGTTCATGATAACCGTCACGAATATAGAGACATTAAGTGACCACTAAGCCCACAATAAGAATGTTAATGTAATTGCTGTAGTTACTGTAGTTGGTGCAGTNGTGGTGGAGGGAAAAAAATTGGGAGTCGGGAATCGGGAGTCGACTGTTTGAGCCAATTATGGCAGGTACATACTGTCTTAAGCGATTTCTTAGGAAAACACCTGTTACAAAGAAACTAAAAAATAAGTAAAAAAAAGTAATGGCGTTATTACGTTGCCATGGCGACTGTTGTAAAGAAACCCAAATCATAACCAATTTTCTTCTTTATATAATACAGTTGTGGTAACCTTTTTCCTATATCTTTATTCATGGTAATGGGTTCATGATAACCGTCACGAATATAGAGACATTAAGTGACCACTAAGCCCACAATAAGAATGTTAATGTAATTGCTGTAGTTACTGTAGTTGGTGCAGTGGCTGTAGTTGGTGTAGTTAGTGTAGTCGGTGTAGTTAATGTAGTTCTTGTCGTTGCTGTAGTTGATGTAGTTACTGTAGTTACTGTAGTTGGTGTAGTAGCTGTAGTTGGTGTAGTAGCTGCAGTTGGTGTAGTAAGTGTAGTTGGTGTAGTAGCTGTAGTTGGTGTAGTTAGTGTAGTTGGTGTAGTAGCTGTAGTTTGTGTAGTTGCTGTAGTTGCTGTAGTTAGTGTAGTTAATGTAGTTGCTGTAGTTGCTGTAGTTGATGTAGTTACAGTAGTTGCTGTAGTTGCTGTAGTTGCTGTAGTTGATGTAGTTGCTGTAGTTGGTGTAGTTAATGTAGTTGGTGTAGTTGATGTAGTTGATGTAGTTACTGTAGTTGCTGTAGTTAGTGTAGTAGCTGTAGTTGGTGTACTAGCTGTAGTTAGTGTAGTTGATGTAGTTGGTGTAGTTAATGTAGTTGGTGTAGTTGGTGTAGTTGATGTAGTTACTGTAGTTGCTGTAGTTGGTGTAGTAGCTGTAGTTGGTGTAGTTAGTGTAGTGGCTTTAGTAGCTGTAGTTGGTGCAGTAGCTGTAGTTGGTGTAGTTAGTGTAGTTGCTTTAGTAGCTGTAGTTGCTGTAGTAGGTGTAGTTACTGTAGTTGGTGTAGTTAATGTAGTTGCTCTAGTTGCTCTAGTTGATTTAGTTACTGTAGTTGCTGTAGTTGGTGTAGTAGCTGTAGTTGGTGTAGTAGCTGTAGTTGGTGTAGTAAGTGTAGTTGGTGTAGTAGCTGTAGTTGGTGTAGTAGCTGTAGTTGCTGTAGTTGCTGTAGTTCGTGTAGTTAATGTAGTTGGTGTAGTTGGTGTAGTTGATGTAGATACTGTAGTTGCTGTAGTTAGTGTAGTAGCTGTAGTTGGTGTAGTAGCTGTAGTTGGTGTAGTAGCTGTAGTTAGTGTAGTTTGTGTAGTTGGTGTAGCTGCTGTAGTTGGTGTAGTTAATGTAATTGGTGTAGTTGGTGTAGTTGATGTAGTTACTGTAGATGCTGTAGTTGGTGTAGTAGCTGTAGTTGGTATAGTAGCTGCAGTTGGTGTAGTTAGTGTAGTTGGTGTAGTAGCTGTAGGTTCTGTAGTTGGTGTAGTAGCTGCAGTTTGTGTAGTTGCTGTAGTTGCTGTAGTTGCTGTAGTTAGTGTAGCTAATGTAGTTGGTGTAGTTGATGTAGTTACTGTAGTTGCTGTAGTTAGTGTAGTAGCTGTAGTTGGTGTAGAAGCTGTAGTTGATGTAGTAGCTGTAGTTAGTGTAGTTGGTGTAGTTGGTGTAGTTGATGTAGTAGGTGTAGCTGCTGTAGTTGGTGTAGTTGATGTAGTTGGTGTAGTTAATGTAGTTCCTGTAGTTCCTGTAGTTGCTGTAGTTGATGTAGTTACTGTAGTTGCTGTAGTCGATGTAGTAGCTATAGTTGGTGTAGTTGCTGTAGTTGGTGTAGTAGCTGTAGTTGGTGTAGTAAGTGTAGTTGGTGTAGTAGCTGTAGTTGGTGTAGTAGCTGTAGTTGGTGCAGTTAGTGTAGTCGGTGTAGTAGGTTTAGTTGCTGTACTTCGTGTAGTTGCTGTAGTTGGTGTAGTAGCTGTACTTGCTGTAGTTGCTATAGTTACTGTAGTTGCTGTAGTTAGTGTAGTAGCTGTAGTTGGTGTAGTAGCTGTAGTTGGTGTAGTAGCTGTAGTTGATGTAGTTGGTGTAGTTGGTGTAGTAGCTGTACTTGGTGTAGTAGCTGTAGTTAGTGTAGTTGGTGTAGTAGCCGTGGTAGCTGTAGTTGGTGTAGTAGCTGTAGTTACTGTAGTTGCTGTAGTTAGTGTAGTAGCTGTAGTTGGTGTAGTAGCTGTAATTGGTGTAGTTAGTGTAGTTGCTGTAGTTGGTGTACTAGCTGTAGTAGGTGTAGTTGATGTAGTAGCTGTAGTTGGTGTAGTTGGTGTAGTAGCTGTAGTTGGTTTAGTAGCTATAGTTGGTGTAGTTAGTGTAGTTGGTGTAGTTAGTGTAGTTGCTGTAGTTGGTATAGTTGATGTAGTTAGTGTAGTTGGTGTAGTAGCTGTAGTTGGTGTAGTTGGTGTAGTTGCTTTAGTTGGTGTAGTAGCTGTAGTTTGTGTAGTTACTGTAGTTGGTGTAGTTAGTGTAGTTTTGTGTAGTTGGTGTAATTTGGTGTAGCTTGGTTTAGTAGGTTTATTTTGGTGTAGTTTTGTGTAGTTGATGTAGTTTGGTGTAGTTTGGTGTAGTTTGGTGTAGTAGGTGTGTTAATGTAGTTTTCTGTAGTTGGTGTAGTTTGGCGTAGTAGGTGTAGTTTGGTGTAGTTTGGTGTAGTTTTGTGTAATTGGTGTAGTTTGGTGTAGTTGGTGTAGTTTGGTGTAGTTTGGTATAGTAGGTGTAGTTTGTTGTAGTTTTGTGTAGTTTTGTGTAGTTGGTGTAATTTGGTGTAGTTTGGTTTAGTAGGTTTCGTTTGGTGTAGTTATGTGTAGTTGATGTAGTTTGGTGTAGTTTTGTGTAGTTGGTGTAGTTTGGTGTAGTAGGTGTAGTAGGTGTTGTTTGGTGTAGGTTGGTGTAGTGTTGTGTAGTGGGTGTAGTTTGGTGAAGTTTGGTGTAGTTTTGTGTAGTTACGTAGTATGGTGCAGTTTGGTGTAGTAGTTGTAGTTTGGTGTAGTTTGGTGTAGTTTTGTGTAGTTCGTGTAGTTTTGTGTAGTTGGTATGGTTTGGTGTAGTTTGGTTTAGTAGGTGTTGTTTCGTGTTGGGTTGTGTAGTCAGTTTAGTTTGATGTAGGTGGTTTAGTTTGGTGTAGTTTTGCGTAACAACTGCACAAACTACACCAACTGCACATACTACACCAACT